AGAATGCCTGAGGCAGCAGCAGACATGGGAGGAAGTTCAAGCAGAGGAAGTTCCATGGCAAGACAAGACTCTGCATGGGATGTACCTTCGGCAGATAGCTGAGGTGGCTGACATTGGGAAATCCTACCAGTGGCTAGAAAGGGCTGGACTAAAAGACAGCACTGAGGCACTGATCACAGCGGCACAAGAACAGGCACTAAGCACCAGAGCCATAGAAGCGGGGGTCTACCACACTAGACAAGACCCAAGGTGTAGGCCATGCAGAGAGGCCTCAGAGACAGTTCAACACATAATGGCAAGATGTAAGATGCAGCCAGGAACAGCGTACACTGTACAGCCCAGTCAAGTAGTTGGTATTGTGTACGGGAACATCTGCACAGCGTATGGGCTAGACCCTCCCAAGTCCAGTTGGGAGATTCCACAGAAAGTTGCAGAGAACAACAGAACTAAAATCCTATGGGGCTTCCAGATCCAGACGGACAGGCAGGTACTGGCTGATCAACCAGACATTGTGGTGGTAGACAAGGACCAGAAGATGATGATAGATGCAGCAATGCCAAGTGACAGCAACATCAGGAAGGAGTATGAGAAGCTGTAGAAGTACCAGGGCCTAGAGGATGGTACTAGAGAGGATGTGGAAAATAAAGGCCAAAGTGGTCCCGGTGGTGGTAGGAGCACTCGGGGCTGTGACTCCTAAGTTGGGAGAGTGGCTCCAGTAGATCCCAGGAGTAACATCAGAGTGCTCTGTCCAGAAAAGTGCAGCGCTAGGACAGCTAAGATACTGCACAGAACCCTCAACCTCCCAGACCTCTTATAGAGAACCTGAGATTGAAAACACATACCGCCTATAGGGGTGAGTGGGGATTTTTATTTATATATATGTTTTTATTTTTATATACACACATTTCCAGAGTGAAAATACAAATTTTAAGTTAAAGGTAAGGGAAATAGAGAAAATAGAAAAGTGAAAAAGAAAATAAATAGAAAAGAAAAATAATAAAGAAGTGGCTTCTGATCTTACCAGCAGTTATATTTATATTTTACTCTCTCTAAGGTAGCAACATATAATGTAAGGTTTTAGGTGGGAGACCACCTAATCCAATCGTCTGCCAGCACCAAACTCCATTACCACAGCATTTGAAACAGACGGCCATTTAACCTCTGCTGAAACATTTTCCAGGAAGGAGAGTCCACGACCTTCCAAGGCAGAGTCTTCCATGGTTGGACAGCTTTTTATGTTAGATTTTTCACTGATATCTAGCTGAAATCTACTTTGTAATTTAGACCCATTGCTGTGTCTTTTGGAACAATTCTGTCTTTCCTTTTACATAACAATTGTTCAGGCATCATAATCTCCCTACAGTTTTCTCCTAACTCTACCTAATTGCTCTTTCATTTTAAGTTTTCTTCCCAGTCCTTTTATAATCTTGGTTTAGTTTGCCAATGTCTTTCGTAAGATGTAGTGCCCAGAATCAGATGCAGTATTCTAGGTGTGATGTGACTAATGCTGAATAGAGAAGAATAACTTATTTATTTTGACAATAGTTTTGATGATGCAGCCTAGGATTACATTTGTTGGTGCGTGCGTGTATTGCAGCTGCAACACACTTGACTCATGTTCATCTAGTGATCCACCACAACATTCAACTCCTTTTTCATATGTACTTTTCAGAGTCTGGTTCTCTCATCTTATACTGACACCTTCAACTTTTCCTACCCATATGTGTAGCACTTTGCATCTTTCTGTTGGAACACTGGGCAGAAATCAGCAAGATGGATTTCAACTTGTGAAGATCCTCCTGAATCTTGATACTTAAATATGAATAGCACAGGGTCTAGAACAGAGTCCCATAGTCTATCCACTCAAAACTTCCCTCCAACTTGATGTAGAGCCATTGTTGTACACTCATTGGGAAGGATTATTCAACCGGCTCAGTATCTATCAAATGATAGCTAATCCAGCCCACATTTTGTCATCTGTTTTTGTCAATTGTGAAACCATCAATTATTCCCCCTTTGAGGAAAAGACAGGCAAAGCAGGGGCTGAGAACCTCTGCCCCCTCCCTGTTACTATCCTACAACAACTGGCCCATTTCTTTGTATTTAGTCCTTTGTGTACTGACACAACCAAAAAATCTTTCCTGCTTTTATCTTCCTTTGCAAAACTATTTTTCTTATACTTCAGTCTTTCTTTCTACAAATTTGGCTACTTGGTGGTACACACCCATCTTGGCTTGATTGAACATTTTCTGTGCAGCCACATAGGCAGTGTTTCTAAGTTTCTAACCTGTTTTCAATTTTGTCCTTGTTGGAATGATATGTAACTGCATTTCCAATATCTTGTTTTTGAGAAGTTTTTAACTGTCCTGCATTCCTTTTGACCCTTGGACAGAAATCTGCCTATTATTTCTCCAAACTGGAAATTGGCTCCTGAAATCCAGACCACATGTACAACTATATTGCAATTTCTCTTTCTATACTATTAGAACTCCAACCACCTTCCAGTTCCATCTTTGGGTGTGAGGATGGTAGCCTCAGTTTTTCTCTGATATGCTGGTTTTCTGAAGTGAGGATTGGGTAGAATCTTGCCTCCATATCTCTACATCTCTTATTGTTGTAGGTGGATATGGAATGGGCAGGATTCCATGTGTGAATACAGATATGATGAATCCAAGAAGTACTATTAGAGGGAGTTAACCAGTTTTCTCCTCTCCCATCTAATGTATATTAAAAAGCGGGGTAAAAATCCAATACCACCTTTTCCCCCATAAGCCAGTTGAAACAATAAGCAAGATTTGGATTGATTCAGTGCTTCAGTCCAAGCAGAATAGTGGAGGTTCCTCACCCATTACTAGTCTGCTTTTCTTTCTTGCAAACTGAACATTAGTTAATGTCTATGTTCTGTACGCACTGTATATAAATGAGACCTTAAATTCTGCAACTAATTATTCCTATTTATTCCCCCACATTTTCACAGCCAAGTCATTCTAGAGAAATACAGTGGCGTACTTGTGTACTATGGCAATTCAAATGTTACACTTGCCCGTGCTGCACTGTCTCATAGTAAGGATGGTGCTTTTCAGATTTTAATGTCATATTCACTAGCATGTTAGATTTTTAAGAGAACTCTGATTCCACCTTTGGTTATCTTTTGAACCAGCTCAGAACCTATATAAAACTGATACAATTTTTCAGTTTTGAAGTCCTGAATTTCATGTTTTCATCTCCTAAAAGCAGAATTCAAATCAGAAATTACTATTTTTTCCCTTTGCTTTCTCCAGTCAGCTTTTACCCGATATGCACTTAATCTCGAAGTTGCAGTAGAATCAGCAAAAGAGGCATGAGCAGGAAAGCAGTTCCCCCCCACCCCACAATTTGCTCTTTGTTGTGCAGGATAACAATAAGCAGAGATACAAGTAATTGCTGTAGCCCTGAAGAAGTCATATCTTCCATGGGCCTCCCCATGCTGTTACCCAGAAGCTAGAATGTGGAGAAGGGGGGAAAAAAAGTGAAGTCCTCTGTCACAGATTCTTTTTAAACTGTACCCAATTTGATTGACTCAGACTCAAAAGATTCACCAAAAGCACTAGACCTTGGACACTTGGATTTTTATATTTTCCCTATAAGGGTTGGGGAGATATTTTATTTTGAAAAAACTATCCAAGAAACAAAAGTAAAATATACAAACGTGCAAGTTTTTTCTATGGCTGTTATCTTACACTGTTTCTATTACTAATGATACTATATAATTTTCTCTATACTATACACAGTATTCTATTACTTCTATGCTATATTATACTATTACTAGTATGCTATTGCTATTATACTACTATTACTAGTATACAACAGTATTTTACAGACCTTGGTCTGTCTTTAAATCCTCTCAGGGATTTCTTCTATTTTTTTTTCTTCTTTATTAATGGGCAGCATGTAAAACACTTATACCTTCCCAATGTTGTGCTTGGCCGCTTCTTTTTCCTTTGGACCCTTCAGTCTCTGTGAAAAAAAAGCACATTCTTTTATTTGGCGGTGGCGGCGGCTGCTGGTTGCAGACCTTCCAAAATATGTGCTACTCCTCCCCCACCTGTTTCAAGGTTGCAGCTTTTATAAGCAACTCTCTCTGGATGCTGGAGAGAAGGCTCAAATAGGAGGGAGGCAGCACAGGTGCCAAGCATCCTGCTCTTTCATATCTTCTCTCTTCCTTATATGGCTCTGCTACTACTTCTGTAAATTCAAACAAAGAATGGGAAACTGCCTGTGAAATCAATCATCTAAAATTTATACATTATTCTGTTTCTCAGTGGAAGGTTAGACTGTTCTGTAAATTGTGCAGCTGCTTTGGAAGCACTGTGCATAGGGCTGATCAGTATAAGTTTAGATTGGACCAAAGGGTATAGAAGACAGTTAAAACTCAATATTTTCTAAAATAAAAGCATTTAAACAATGTAACACTATCTAAGCATCCTGTATTTTCAAACTTTACATTTTAATGGAAGAGAATGCTTTAGAAGAAAATTGTTGAGACATATATACAATATATCGGCCTTCTATTCATTCCTTTTAGGTTTGAGTATCTATTTAATTTTGATAATGCATTTGAAATACATGATGATATTGAAGTATTGAAGCGCATGGGAATGGCATTTGGACTGGAATCTGGAAGTTGCTCAGCAGAAGATCTAAAAAATGCAAGGAGTTTGGTTCCCAAAGCTCTTGAACCATATGTGACAGGTAAAGTTAAATAAAATTACTCCTTTTTAAAATTTGAAATAAAACTTGAGAAGAAAATAAGCTGCTATTGGAACTTAACACAACTATGATACACAATGCAATATAATATAAACATTATTCACTATGCAGTTACCAAAATACCTTCAGTTGTAGCTGGACCATATTAATGGTTGAGTTGATACAACTCTGGCAGCCACAAGATACATAATACAGATTTTATCTTCTGCATTGCTAGCCATAGTAATTTTGGAATATAATTGTAATGTTTAGTTCAGAAAACATTAGAAAAAATTGCACCACATTCTAATCAATACATTAGATTCACTTTAGTATGCTACCTTTTCATCTGGTGCTCACTGTACTTCAATAGTGTAAATTATTACTAGTTTCACACATTGTATAGAAACAACATGGTTTGATTTGTTTTAGCTTAGCAGGTTGTATTGACCCAGGCATTTCCTGTGGTTGCAAAACCAGGGTCTGTGTTTTAGAGCAGTGTTTCAGAACCAGTGGTACACATATGCTGATGGGTACACAGAAGGAATCCAAGTGAGAGGCATGGCACAACCCTCTCAGTTCTTCAGGCTTGAGGAGTGGGACTTGCACCTGCTCCAGGTTGAGGTAACAAAAGGACTTGTTTGAGAAGCTTCAGGTGCTGCTTTGGAAGAGCAGAACAAAAGAAGGAAAGCTTTTCCCCAGAGTTTATCCAGTTGCTTTTTGTGTGTTCCGATAACTTCTTGCAAAGAGGGGGAAAGGCAACAAGTAACCAGACAAGCAGCAGTTTTCCCCTCTGCGCCACTGCCTGAAACCACCTGCACATGGTCCTTTTCTTTTGACCTGCACCCACTGAGCTCCCTCTGGGCCTTTTCACCCTTTTGCTACTTTATAAAAAAGCTGCTGAAAACTCTGTCCTCAGTTCCTCCCATTATTTTCCTTCCCTCTTACTGCTTCTTGCACACCACATCTCACAAAGTGTGGCTAGGCTTTTTCAGCCTCAAGTTTTTCTTTTGCCTTTCAGCTACTAAAGGAATTGACCTTTTTGTTGGCCTTTTAAAGCCATTGCAGTAAAATTTACTCCAAACGGTACTACTGCATGTTTATGCCCTTAAAGCTTCTCATTAATTATTATAGAAAAAAACATGTAAACATAAAAATCCCCTCAAAAAGAGTGGCTATTTGGTTCTATGAAGCTAGAACCCAGGTTCACCAATAGAGCGGTTGGTGGGACATTAGATATGAAAGTTTGAAAATAATTGGATAAACTTGTGTGTGTATTCAGCCGATTATGATTTAACCATTGTTAAAGATTGTTTAACATCTGTGAATTTAGTCTGTATTTCCTTGACTAATGCTGTGCTGAAATGGTTTAATGCTTTAAAATAAAGTCAAGATAGTGTACATGTTACAGTTCATTTGCATGATTTTTTTGCTCACTTTTAATATGCTATATATGTAAAATATATTCAATGGAGTTTTTATTGGATTGCAGATACGTATGCTATAGAATGACTGCTACCTAATTCCTGATGTTTCTTTGTCTTACAGAAATGGCTCAGGGATCAATCAGCAATGTGTATGTCTCATCCTCATCAGGTTCAGCTTCAAATGGGACAAGATTTTCCAACAGGTTAGATAATATTGTATTTTGTGTTTAAAAACTAGTTCACAGACCCAGTGTCATCTGCTAAATAGTAGGACTATATTATTTTATTTTTGTTAATTGTTATGTTGAATCTTTTATTTAATTAAAATAAGTAAATATCTAGAGAAACCTTTTAATGTAACTGCTTTTGAAAAGGCATCTTAAGAAATTTTCCTTTTCTGCTTCCAAAATTGGCCATTTTGCCACTGGATTTCTACAGTGCTATTTGTAGGCTCCTCTGAGGGCCCCCAAAGGTGCTGGAACCAGATGAGGGCCAGATTGCCTACTCGTGCCTACACCTTCCAAAACTTGAAAACACATCAAAGAACTTCAAACATGTATATAAAATGAAGAAAACAATTACCCAATTCTTAGGGCTGCCATATCTAGATTGCAAAAATCTGGACTGCCTTGAGATGGCAGCAAAGAGACATAAAATACTTTAACCCTTGGCTCTTTCAAGTTGTCATATGGATTTTGGCATCTCTACTCTTACAAGAAGGCCTAGCAGTTATGAATCCCATTAACAATCTTGCATGATTCTTTAGTGTTGTTTACATGCTGTACAATGTGGGGTGAGTGTGATACAAGGATGGGCAACCTTTGAATGATGGAAAGGCACGCTTAGTTTTTTGGGTATCCAAGGGTCATAGTGAAGTTATAATGCAGAATAAGTGGGGGGAGGGTTCCTTTTTTGTTTCGTCTTTGCATTTTGAAAGGAGTTAGAGATCTTTGATTTTTAAAATGTTGAGATTATGTTAGGGCTTATGCTACATTTTTTTAATTCACAGGAAAGCATGTCACACCAGTGTTTAGCAAAAATTGCCAGAGTTGATTCTGGAAGTCACAAAAAAGGGCTTGGGGATTGTATTTGACAGGGGGTTGGGGTTTGATAGTTTATTGATTGATTAGTCTTATGACCATATTTAAAAAAAGGTAAAATGCAAGGTCTGTTTCCAAGATAAAATAGGTAAAAGAAAATACAATAATAATAAAATACATACATGCTAAATACAAAGAAACAACGTTCAGATAAATACATCACCTTTACACAATACCCTGATCTGTTCAATATAACGGATTCTTAGCTGAACTGCCTTGTCTATAAACTTAGCAGTTCTGCTAACAGTGTATATGTTAGTGCTCATGAGGAAATAGGACAATCTGCGATTCAAGTCCAGTGGGCTGTTCTTTCAAGTAGGGATTCTACAGCTGACAATCAAATAAAACGTGAGCAATATCTTAGATGGCTGGGGCACCGCATATACACATCCTCTCATGATATGGCAAGTGATGGAAGCGCCCATATTTGGCCATGGAATCCAGCAACTCAAATATTGCTCTAGAATAGGCCCGTCTTAGGAATTGCTTCAAATTCATTGACAGGTATTTTTTGGTTTGGAAAGCGGTTTTGTTCTTAGCCAACCAGTTTAAAGATCTGGTTTTTTGACAATAACTCCATGTCTGTTTGGACACTGATATCTAGTACTCTCTGTTTAAAAATTTCTTTTGCCTGGGAGGCAGTTGAGAATTAGTATTGGGTGGAAAACCCATGCTGTAAAATAACTTTAGTAAGTTGACTTACCCAGGAGGTGGGCTGAGCCATACTTATCTGTTCAGCTAAACATATTTTGGGTAGCCTATCAGGGTCCATTGAATGGATCCCCTGCCAATAGGTAAAAACTTTGATTGCTGAGTGGCTGTATATGGAGTGAATATCAGTTCTACTCTGACTGTGGGGGCTGACATACTGTTTGTCAGTTCCCAGTATGCTTCTTAAACAACGGTTCTGAACTTGTTCAGTTCAGTGAGGTGGCTTTTGTAAGGCCCCACGGTTCCACACCATAGGTCAGTATTGGGACTATTTTTGCCCTATATACTTTCAATATGAGTGTCAAGATACCTGGGTAATTGTAATTAAATAATTTATATAATTTTTTGGTACTTGGCCTCAGCGCAGGGTTGTACTTAGCCTTAGGTGTCTAGATTTACCCTCTCCTGGCTTAATATATTGATGGGGGGGGGACTGAAAAATTAACACAATTTGCTTGTTTTGCAGCGACTACTCAAACGGAGGAGATGGAATGTTGGCTACAAGTTCCAATGGATCTCAGTACAGTGGCTCCAGAGTAGAGACACCAGTGTCTTATGTTGGGGATGATGACGATGATGATGATGATGACTTTAATGAAAATGATGATGATGACTGATACTTTTTGCCTGTAGACTTTTTTATTGTTAAAATTCAGCAAGCGTCAGGAATAAATTCTAGGAAGAGATTGTCAAAAATTGTCCCATCAAGGAGATACTGGTAAGAGTCTGAATTTAGAAAATTGCACCTCCAATAAAGTAAAAATTGTTTGTTTTTTATGTAGATTTTTTTACATGTGATGAGGATGTGTGTGTTGATACCAGTGTGTTAATGCAGAACTTTTATTTACTTTTGCTTAGGATTTTTAACTTGAAGGAAAATGCATTTTGCCCCTAAATGTTGTCACAAAATTTGAAATGTAGCCACATTTAATGGAAAATAAAAGCTGTCCACCTGTCAAAATGCATACATGAATGGCATTTTATTTAGAGTGCATTTAGGTGACATCGTACTGAAATATAGTAATCAAATGTTATATTTTGCTGATCATGCCATGTCCAAAGAATCAAACAGAAAAGCATCTTTTTAAATGTTAGTTTGCAGAAATTGTATGAATTTATTTCCCTTTTTAAAATTATACTGATCATTGTAATCCCATCAGATTCTATATATTATGTTTGCTGAAGTTAGAACATATGAGTTATAATTTTGGGGCAAATGTTTACTGCCAGGCTGGTATAGCTGTGTAAATGTCTTGAAAGTTTAGAATGAGTTTTGCTTATGATGAAAATTTGCCTGATTTCTTACAGGCAGATTTTGGAAACAATTTGTTACATAGTTGTTTACATATTTAGAAGTCTATCATATAAAAGACATGTACTGAAACAAATGGTTTATATTTGTTTCATAAACATCTTCCAGTAATCTATTATAAAGTTGAAATTAAATATAGAGAATGTTTTATGTTTAACTCAAAACTTGTCAATCACTTTTAATACTTCATTTTTTATAAAAAAAATCAGGACAGGTGGTAGTCTTTTTAAATTTATTCACACAGAATTAACTGCACAAATACTGTCAGCTGCCTGTTCTAAGACAGTAGTCTTTTTATTGAAACACAAATAAACTTTCTGTAATATTTTATGGTATATAAGCAGTTTGTTTTACTTGTTTAATTGTGGCACTATTAGTTTTTATTAATAAAACACGCGTGGGCATTTTTAACAAGTATTTTGTTTCTCTAATCAAGATTATTTTCACCTTCTGCTTTGTTGTGTTTGACTTATCATCTGGTTCTTCAGTATGGAAGAGTCTCAGAGCTCTTTTAATGGGTAAGTAGGGAGATATTTATATCTATATCTAGATGGTGAGAGGCAACAGCATGCACTGATGACTTCTAGATTCTTGTGAGACTGAATCCAACCGTACAAATATGTAAGTGAATAAATCAGGATCCTCCCAGAAATATCTGTCATTGTATGACCAATCATAAAATACACTTTTACCAGAAACAGAACTGGTAAGGTTGCTCCAAAAGACCTCTTCCAGTTTCCCGGAATGTTCTCCATCTCAACTTATCTCTTGTCTTTTTTGTCTTATCACCAGGCACAGTTCTAAACAAACACTGGCCTACAGCTTTGTGTTTTTGTTTTTTAAGAATGCTTCTTCGTATATATTTTATTCCTTGAGAATACATATTCAGCTGGAGGCTGGCACTTTGCAGCATGCTAGTTTCCCATTACATTTTTAAATTAAAAGAATTTTATTTTTATTTTTTAAATTTTAAACTAAATAAAATCAGGTAATATATGGAGCCTGCTGACTACCAAGGAAGGTGTCTATGGGCCCATTGGCACCCACAGTCACAATGTTGGGTATTCAGAATTGAATAAGCCTAAAATAAGGTGGGACTTTACAGGTTAAAAAAGATGTATTTTATTAGGATAAAATGCTTCATTCTATGTATGAAATGTTAGACAGTTATTCTAAGTACTGTATGTCACATCAAATGAGTGCTCACTTCCTTATTTTGGGGTTTGTTCAAGGAGTAGATACAGTCAGGTCCAGAAATATTGGGACATCAACACAATTCTAACATCTTTGGCTCTATT